TTAAAATCAAATTTTTCTCAACGTTTTTTCCTTACATGAGTCGTTCTGATGAAATTTAAGGTGTGACTATTTGAATGTCTAGAATCGTAATCAAGTTACCAAAACATGAATAGTCAATTATTTTCACTTTGCCTCGCTTTTGAACAACTTTCGAAAGAACTCAATTTTTCAAAAATTCCAGAACAAAGATCAAAACGCACATTGGCGAATTGTAACTTGGTCACAGACATTCCTAGATGTATGAAATTCGTTATATTATTTCCTAGAATCTAATATTTCTGATGTTGACGAAAACAAGAATCTTTCTATTCTTCTTTCAGATATTGTTTATAGCTACTTCAACCAGAAAACGGATTATCGTGGTTTTTGTTTCATTAAGAAAAGATATTTTGTCTGTTGGCATGGCAGAGAATGATATGTATTTCGATGAGAAAATAGAAGCTTTGCCCTTACTTGAAAAGGTTTCACAAGCATTGATTGACGACACAGACAAGATGATATCGCCTATAGTAGAAAGTATTCAACCAACTCTATTTGATGAAGAATCCCCATATGAAATAGTAGCAATCAACGTGTCGAATCGAGATGATCCAACACTTGCCTGTCTCACATTTCGTTCATGCACTCTTGGTCTCCTTTTTACTTGTTTTTTCGCGTTTGTCAATGGATTCTTTTCTTTGCGTACAATGCCTATTGTTCTCGGTATGATCGTTGCACAGATTCTCTCCTATCCCATGGGTAAAGCGATGGCCTCACTATTGCCTAGTCGAACATTTATGCTATTCGGTGGAAGATGGGAATTCTCATTAAATCCAGGTCCATTCTCCATCAAAGAACATTGCATTATTTCAACAATGGCTAGTACAGCAACGGTAAGTCTTCAAAGATGACTATAAGGTTTTGATCCCAAAACCTAATATGTATAGGTACATAGAGAAAGTATTTCTCTACAAATCTACACATATCTCGTTTTCGTATTAAAAATTGCTACAAGACTTATAATTGCCGTTTTTAAACATTCTATCTTCAATTGAAATTCGTAGGCAACATCATATGCCATCGAAGTTATAGTCATTCAACGTGTTTTCTACAATCGCCCAATCAACTATGCCCTCGGTCTACTTTTTGTTATATCTGCTCAAACGCTCGGTTATGGCATGGCAGGTATTATGAGAAAATTTGTTGTGTGGCCAGCAGCAATGATATGGCCGACTAATCTTATTAATTGTGCTCTCTTTCGCGCTCTCCATGACAATGCTAATGATGACAAACAAAACTACGAAAACAATACGACCATATCAAATCGACGAATATCTCGTTACCATTTTTTCTGTTTAATTTTTTTCTTTCATTTTTTATGGTATTGGATTCCAGGCTATATTTGTCCCATTCTATCCTTTTTCTCCTTGTTCTGTTTGATCGATCCTAGCAATATTGTGCTTTCTCAAGTTACGGGAGTTAATGGACTCGGATTAGGCTCGTTCGAATTGGACTGGAACGCTTGGGTGTCATTTTTGGAGTCGCCCATTGTTGTTCCCTTCTGGTATGATAATACAATGAATTATCAGATAAATAAATATTTGTTTCGTTTAGGGCTCAATTGAATGTTCTTGTCGGATTTATTATTCTTGTATGGATTATTACACCAGTTACTTATTACAACAATTTGTGGAATTCAAAAGTGATGCCCATTGTCTCAAATCGACTCTTTACTGTTGAAGGCTATTATTATAATGTCACTGCTGTACTAGATTCACATCTGCGTTTAAACGAGACAGCATATAACCTTTACGGTTCCAATTCTCTTTCTCATGTTCCACTGCTTTCGATATCCATTGTTTTTCAGGTCCGTTGCGCCTAGCAACTCTATTCGCTTTCAAGTATGGAATCCAATTTGCTGCAGTTACTTGCATTCTTGTTCACACTTGTCTCAATAATGGTAATTAAACAAACGGTTTCTACTCAGTAAGAAATATATCTTTGCATCTCTCGATTGTTAAAGGTAAAACCATCATCGACCAATTCCGATCGTCAATATCCATTGCCGCCAATGATATTCATGGTAAATTGATGATTCAATATACGGAGGCACCCGAATGGTGGTATGCATGAGATGTATTTTGTCAATTGATTCATCTGAAATAAGTCCTCAACTTTTATTTACAGGTATGCAATTGTATTTCTTGTTGCCTTCGTCGTCGCAATCATTGTTTGTCAAGTTAGTGGCTTCATGCCATGGTACATGCTTTTTCGTATGTCTGAAATTAAGTTTGATTCTCTTCATTTGTGAAGGTCGTATGTAATTTCTAGTTGCCGTGATCATTGCATTAGTTTTTCTTTTACCCAATGCCATCATGAAAGCAGTAACCAGTGTAGCTCTAAGTAAAGACATTCGTTAGCAATATTCTCATAATCACGTCAATTAGTTCTAGCTCTGAATATCATTTCTGAATGTGTGGCCGGTTTAATTATGCCTGGCAATCCAATTGCAAATATGACGTTTAAAGCATACGCATCTATAGCGGAGGCTCAAGCATTATTTTTTCTCTCCGATTTAAAGCTTGGACACTATATGAAAGTACGATTGATTGAGCGTGAAAACAAAGATATGCAAACAACATCGTTTATGTTTTTTTTCCAGATTCCTCCTCGTGTCATGTTCACTACTCAGATCGTTGCCACTATTGTTGCTTGTGTTGTGAATTTTTGGACTGCTATGTATCTCATAAATACGGTTCCAAATATTTGTACATCGAAAAATATCAAATGGTCGTGCTCAGCACCAACTACTGCCTATTCGGGCTCAATCATATGGGGTGCTGTAGGTAATTAAGATCTATCTCAATTTTTTGACATTGATGCTTAAAATTTCTCATAGAGAGATATACGACTCAGTAAAATCAAACACTGCTCGGAACTAAAATTTCACTACAGAAGGCGAAGACAGCTATCAAGTCAACGGTAGCATCGAAGATACTGTTATATAGAGGTTGCAGAAGAGATTACTATTTAAGATCACGCCTCACTCTAAAGCAAAAGGTATACTACCGAGTTAGTGTTCAGCTCAAGAACTTTTTCAGCATCTTACGATTCTAGCGGACCTAAAAAGCGTTCGACAAACCCTGATGCAATTTTTTTAGACTTGTTAGATCCATAGGCCACCTCGAATAGGTTCTACTTCTGAGCACACGTTCGATGATATATTTGTTTTTTGGAATGTTAGCCTAGTTCTATTGCAAGCATATGCAATACCGGGCAAAATTTTTCGAACGTTTAGTTTTTGCCTATAACTATCTTATAAAGTTCGTTTTTGAGATGTAACTTGTGCCAAAATTACAAGCTTTGCCTATGTTATATCCACAAAACATTTCACTCATAAATGTTGAATCATAGTGGAAGCGAATATATAACATTGAGCAATAGTCATTTTCTATTGGACAAGTTTTTTTTCCGCTAATGCTCGAAAAAGATGGAATTCATATAAATAGAAACAGCAAAACACTAGCTACATTTTAATAACTAAAACCTTTTAGAAACAAAATATCTATGAACTGAAACTGTGAACGTTCATACAAACTCTTTATCATTTTTACATGATAAGCATTTCAATTCATAGACATTTTACTCTTCAAAAGTTTTAGTCATTAAAATCCCAGTGAAAAATATTTACTGATTTTAATCGGATTTTTGTGAAACAAAATCAAAATTAAAATCGATTGATAATTTTGATTATTATTTATCATGACTTAACTATTACGTGATATTGTTACTTATGCAGTGTGAAATTTTCCGATTGAAATCGGGTGATTTGCAGGAAAATCGAAATTAGTAATCGATTTATAATCTTGATTTTGCTGCAAAATAATCCAATTNGGCCCTTGTCGTTTCTTACCCCGCTCCTCCCTTTCGTTCCCGCGGTCGTTCTACACATGGCCCCTGCAGTGACGAGGGGGGGGGGGGGGAGGTAAAGGGTTAATCAAGATCAATTCAAACCTTTTCTTTTATTTGAACGAGGAAACTAATAGTAAGTTTTTATTTTTAAAGACCAAGTTTATTAACACTGTAGAAAAGGTAGCAGTTGTGGTTACAATACAAAAATTAGGTTTTTTCTTCCATGCCAAAATTAAAATGCAGCGTTGTCCTTTCGACATCTTTTTTCGAATTTCAATTCTTATTACAACATTCAGATCATTCAAATTCATCTTCTTGAGAATGTAGATGAAGAGACGAGTCTAACATACCCACTCTTCACTATCTTTGTTTTGATAGAAGATACAAAAGACTAAAACCTGCATACGTTTCTTATCAGTTTCTAAGCTAAAGAGAAAAAACGAGATCTTTCAGCTCCTTTCTTTGTTTTTTTTTTCTTTTTCCATGTTAAGAAATCATGAGAATTCGCAGAGAAGTCATCTAATAGTTTCATCAGCAATCACGTAAAACTTGTTAAATTTAGCATCTTATGAGTTCATTTTAAAGATCAAGTAATCAATACTCTAATGCAAAAACATATAAATAATTATGGATCATAAGATTTAGTGTTTGTGTCGAAATTTCAATGGTTATCGAAAGTAACATATTCATTAGAATAAAATCTTACAATTATTATTCTATATTTTACATCCTTAAGTAAATATTTAACTTTCATTGAAAGAGAATTATCTACAGATGATTGATTGTGATTTATAAACAATAGTACCATCAGCAAATTGCTCGACACTTTGCTATCAAAACACTAAACTAAAAGAATAGGATACCTATTGCTTAGTTTTTATTAGTTCATCTAATGAAGTTTTGTTGACAAAGTCAACCTTTCTTTTTGGTTTTGCTTGAATTATTAGACTAACTAACTATATATAGAAGTGTATTAGTAGTATCGGATATGTAGAAGATGCTAAATATATTTTGATTAATTTCTTTTGTAAAGAATAAAATTTTCTTGTAAAATCCATGAAAAAAAAAAACGAATACAAAAACATTTCATGAAAACAAAAAATTTTCACCTATAAATTTGTAACTAACGTAATTTTTTTTCTCGTGTCGGCGATCAGCGTATTTAATTCTGCAATTCTCTCATCTTCTCGTTGGTCGTATTCCATCAGAACTTTTAGTGCTGATTCAAATTGTCCTAAAGCAAGTTTAAATTGTCCAAGTTTGTCTTGCACACGACCCACATTTGTATGATAGTCAACTAATTCCAAATGATCGGGTGTTAAGCTTTTCTTACCAATATCTAATGCGTGTTGAAAATATTCAAGTGCTTTTACATTATTGCCTATTTTGTCATGCACCATACCTATATCATTTAATGTTGTTCCAATTGAAGGATGGTTTGCTGGTAATCGTTTCGTTTTATTCTGTAAAGCTTGTTCAAAATTTTCCAAAGCTTTTGTAATATAACCATAATCTGCCATAATTTTGGCTTTGAGACCATCCAATTTAGATTTCAGTAATAGATCTTTTTTTGGGAATGAATCAAACTTTTCTTCGGCTAGTCTTTGTTGTTCATCTGCACTTCGACTATCGTCTAATGCCAAATAAGTCAAGCCAAGACTACAATGAGCTGCAATAGCTCGAGGACTATTATCATAACCCAAACGAGAATAAATATCAAGAGCTTTCTCATAAGATTCAAGAGATTCTTGTAATTTATTAGTATCTTTATAAATAAGACCAAGTAAATTGTAAGCATCTCCATTTCCTACATCATTCAACGGAAGATGTTGAGTCATCCATTTGGCATAACGTTCAGCTTTGTTAAATTCACTCATTCGAAAAAGAAACCAACCGAATGATAATGGACCTGGTTCCGATTTGATTTGTTCCAACATATGATCTAAGAGCTTTTGACCAAGTTGGTTTTGTTCGCTACTTAATTGTAAATGAATATGCCACATGTTATCATGTTTTTCGACTGATTGAACTTTGAAAATAGCACCCATTGAAAAAAGAACTTCTTTTTCATCTGGAATACACGAATGATGTTCTATAAATGCAAATGGTGTTGTTTCTTTACTGAAATTACAAACATCGATTATGAAATACACAGATTCTAATGCTGATGGTTCATTCAATTGATCACTTGGACCTGAATATAATTCAGCTACGTTTGGATTTAATGTAGCACTTAAGAAGCTATTCATCGATATAAGTTCATTTACATTCTGTTTGAGTTGATCGAGTTCTGTCATACTTAAAATTTGACTGCGATAAACTGTGAAATGATGATCACGTTGAAAAGAATATTTATCTAAATATTCATTGTAAAGTTTTTCGATCTCATTCTGAAGTTCATTGATGAAAAATCGAAATTTAAATATAATTTCCATATCTTGTGTACGTAAAGCTTTGTTTAATAATCGGTATAGAAAACTATCATATGTGTACCACCAAACCGCTTTCGCTGTAGAATAATCTTTTTCAAAATCATTTATTTTTTTCTTTTGAGCATTATTATTATGATAACTTGCTTGACATGCAGTAATCATATCACCTTTTGCATCACCATATTTTACCATTAATCGAAGAACTCTCAGTATTAAACGATACCATATAGATGTTACACTTTCTTTACTTAAATCTTGTAATGCTTTTTCTCGTTCAGAAAGATGAAATATACTCATTGGTATATTATTATCCTTATTATACACATCGACATCATTAGACAATTGTTGTAATAGTTCTTGTGGTTTCGTGAAAATACCAGAAACTTTTACAATTGATTTAGACCATGATTCTGCTGCTTTCTGATCACGACAATATATGTATATCGCTTGTATTTGTGGTAATTCATATATTAGTGGTACAACATTTTGACCAAATGCATTGGAAATAATAAGAAATACTTGTTTTTGTATTAGTTCCGTGGTTATATTATCAACACATTGATCTGGATCAACAAATGTTTGTAAATAACCTCTACCCAGTTGTCGTATACGTGCTTTTATATCTTGACCTCGTTTGTCTTTTTCAATATTACTATCCAACCAAACTATATGGCACTTGTTTATGACATTGTTGACGTTTTCATTTGCCATGTTTTTGTGCACACCTGAATACAAAAATAAAGTTACGTAGATTCTTGTGTTTTCTTTTATGATTCATCTGGTTTCTTTCTCTTTCTTCTTTTAAAGGTGAAGGTAAGAAAAGTTTGTATTTTTCCAATGACTAGCTTTTATTTAATTGGAAATTCTGATGTGGGTGTGTGCACTCTGTTCTCTTTCCTTCATTATTTACTTTCTAATAATATATCCAAGTCTTTTGGCTTTTTTTCTTTACCTGTTCTCCTTTCGCTTGGTATTCTTCAATTCGTTCTGTGTATTTGTCGCTTGTCAATAGGTTTTTTTCTCTTGTCTTACTCGGAAATTTCCAAATTTAAATACACTCAATCGGATGTGCATGGAAGTTGTTTTTGTCATGCATGCGATGACAAGCTAGATTCTTTTAACGAAGATAAAGCTTGTTTGTTTTAAACTTCACAAACAGGCTACAAGAATACGACAATGTATCTTGAGATGTAATTATTTACATTTAGACATCATACAACTCAATACCATTGGCAGTGCTATTGAACGTGGGTGTGGATGGGAGTGTTTCCCTTATGTTTGTCGACACCCACACATCATGAGGTATACCACAGGTTCTATAAACTTGTATTGAAATAGCGGAAAAGTAAGTGATATGAAATGCTTTCAATAAATCTCAGGTGCATATGCAATAAAAAAGAATCGAAAGATTCGTAGGTCGAAAAATGACCTTATGAGCACACCTTATTTTTAGGAGTAAAACAAGTTAAAGAGAATACAATACATCTTGAGACATAAGTTTATTTAAATAACGGATCTGGCAGAATGAATGACCTTTCAATATTTTGATCACGTCTATTTGGGTTTCATCGTTCTTGAACTACTTTATTTAAGAATCGGAGTGTGTGTAATTCTGCATTCTCTTCACTGACATGCACATGCACATCCGCCCACACCCTTTACAATATTGTTGAACTCATAAGTGAAAGTTTGTCTTAATTTAACTTTATTTCAGTGCATTGCTGCACAAATCCATTTCATATAATTATAGAACTTAAAACGATCAAATTTGTACAGTGAATCGTATTCGAAATGCAAATAATTATCCTTAAGGTGAGGTTAAGCACAAAGGAAAAATGTTCATTATTGTGCAGCCGATCTTTATCCTTACCATCAAAACAATAAAGGTTCATTACATCAAATATTATCTATGAGTACATAGTGAACTTCATTGAACATTTGAAAAAGCTTAAGTCAAGAAAAGCTTGGATAAAAATACCGAAAAAGTCATCTTCTTTACCCTATCCATTATTCGAGAGAAGGTTTCTAAAAATGTCAAGTACTTACTAAATACTTGATAGCATTGCTGAATTATTTAATACATGTCGTACATACTTACAATGCCGATTCTATTTGTCATACTCTGAATATTTAAGAGAGAATCCATGAGACTATCGACTATACGAGGCACCGGACAATAATTAAATTTTTGATTTTTTGTGCTCATTCGGATCATCAATGTCTGAAACTGTTAACCTAAAAAAATTAACTTCAAATACACTTCCTTTGAAAAGTGAGTCAATATCGACTTTTCGCTTTATCATAATTTTCTCAAGAGAAAAACGCAAAATTTGAAGCGTGGGCGTGAGTTTTAAACTCTTCTTTTCACTAACCCACACTCATATCCACACCCTTCGGAGAGGGTCCATTTATAGGTCATTTCTCTGTGAATGCCAAAAAAATATTTATTTTTACAACATACATCTAATACAACTTGAACGAACAAATAGAAAATCTTGAGAAATATATCTTATCAATGTAGTTTATGATTTGTTGATCAGAATGGATGAGTCATTATAAATTGTGCTAAAAGCAAATGCATTTTTTTTCTTACCTTCTATTTGAAAAAAGTACCCATTTATGTACTAAACGATAGAAACTTTCAAGTTCGATAAAACTGCCTACTTTGTTTTTTTAAAACAATTTTCTTAGTATAAAGTTTAAAAGATTAACACCCACACTTACATCCTTCTGTTTTCGGCAAAATTTGTTTCACTTTGAGTAAGCATGCACTCAGCATGTTCAATGATAAAAGTAATGTATCTGTAACATCAAGATAGAATTGTTTTGAACTAACACTTAGTAGTGATTATGGATACATTTGTGCAAAAACCATGTGTGTCAAAGCCAGACTTAGTCTGCGACAAAGTTTTTCTTCATCTCATCGAATGTAAAAAAAAATTTTGAAAAAATAGTATGATAGTTAAATTGAACAGTGAAAACATTGAGGTTGTTTCAAATCAAAAAAAATTTTTGTCAAGAATGATATTTTGAGTGTTTCCACACTATTTTTTGCTTCTAGTTTTTGTCAAAAATATTGCTTCTAAATTTCGGGAAATGACATTAAAAGTCGAGAAATTTTGCTTTCAATATTATGGTATTTCCGAAATTTCTGAACGATAATTATAAGAAGAAAGTCATCATTTTTCGTGTTTTTAACGATTGGATAGGTGTTGAGCTTTTACACTTTACGCCAACAAGAAAGTTTTATAGAGCTTAAAATTCTTTATCATTGGTATATAAATGAGAACTTAATACAAAAAGAAATGAAGAGATAAAATACATTTACTTCATAGTACGATTCATTATGCCCGTTTGTTATATAAATTAAGGTAGTAAAAAAAAATGATTAATTTTCAAGTCCTCCTCGGCTCTAAAAAAAAAGGCGATTCTCGTTAGAAGCACAGAAATTGCGATAAATGCATGGGACGATAGCATGATGCCTGATTTTTCATTTGACATCTCCTTTTCTGTCAAAAGTTTTGATGACTTAAGTCACTTTCTGCTTGAAAAACAAGCTGTTGTTCAGAAAAATTGGGAAATAATTTTTGGTTTTTGCTTTGTCTATGCTTTTCTCATTACGCAACTCAGCATTCTCTACTTGTAATCAATGGCTTTTTTCTTCTTTGAAAGAACATGTGAAACAGTAGTGTCTGCTAGAGCATCCATTTTTTAGGTTTTTGAGATACGGTACTTATCATCCTTTTTCTTCATATCAAAAGTGACAATTTGATTAAAAAACGAGCTCTATCGTGTCCTCCATCATGAGATACTGTTTCAAACAAAAAATAATTAAATTGTTGGAATGAAAGCTCAGAGAATTTAGGGTTGCTAAATGAGGTATCTTTGATCTTTTTTTTTTTTGTTGAGTATCTCCGTATATAACCTGTAAATTTTATGTAATTTGAATGTACCTGCTACTCAATCGAGTTTTCCAAGAAGACTTAAATATGCATGTACACTTCTGTATGTTCTGCTAACAAGAAATGACAAGTTGTATGTTCTTATTAGCTTCCACTTGATGTCCTCTTCTATCGAGAAAAATATTTTATTCGTGGTTGACTGATGTTTTCTATGAATCAAGCTTCTTCTGAGGTGATTTCATATGAAAATTGTTTATCAAACTGCTCGAATAAATTTATCCAAAGAGATTTATGTTAAGCTAGCTCTACTACAACATATTGAACAATAATTCAGTTTTTATATGAAATTTCTTTATTAATGATGTGCATATTACGAAAAAGTTTCTACAATATATATATATATATAATGGGGATCACATTAAACTGGGCTTCAAAGTTTCGACCTGTCATGAATAAGGTTATCTATATGCAGGCAACAATACTAGCCAGACAACAGGAGAAAAAATTTGTTCGAGCATAATGAAAAGTACCATGATGGTAACTTTATATGAAAGGACAAAATACACATGACAACGATAAGAGTAACGCAATGATGTGACAACAAAAGCAAATAGATACAGCGCTTTGTCAATTGAGGCATGACAGTAAAATGAAATATATGCACATCAAGAATGAATTTCGTCAATAATGAAGAAAAGTCTATTATGACCTGCCAGTAGGCTCACGAATACGTGTAGCAGTCGTCTGAAGATTTGAATGAGCCGCAGTCATTATACTTTGACCAACCCGTCGTTGTTGTCGACAGCAGCACGTAAATTGTTGTTTGAACTTGCTGCGCAGTTCTGGCAATGATGAGCAACATACAAATGGACAGAGAAAGATGATATTATAGACAAGAAACTTGCTGATAATCACGCCCACTCTACCATTTTGCGGGGAAACACCGTATGCATAATCAAAAATTACCACAACCCACGGTATATTAAATATGATGTAGATGGATGAAACGATTAGCAGTTGAAGAATCATCTTTCGATGTTTTCGCCATTCAACTGATTGATGAACTCGGGTTTTTTGCCATATTACACGAATAACTAGTGTCGAGCAGCCGGTTATTATCAGAAAACTTGCAAAAAGTTGATGAAACGTAAGTTCCCATATGAGCAATGGAGTTCGATCATACGTACACGGAATATACATACCTCCGGATAAAAACACATCAAATGAGATTGCACATGGTTTTCCAAAATAGGCAATAGAGTAATAGACATAGTAATAAATTGTAATGATGCATGGTGGCAAATAATGAATAAAGAAACGACGTCTACCCGTTGATAACCATTTATCATGAAATATAAGTATATGTCTTTCAAGTGTAGCCCAAGTAAATAATGCTATTTGAAGTGAATACGACGAGTAGTCGAAGAAAACCCAAAAGAGATAAAAGGTAGGTGATGCTGGCCAAGGAACTGCATAATAATCATTGCGAAGAAAGAAGGGAATATTTGTCAATTCGTAGACAAGACCAAGTATAAGAAGAGCAATAAAAATATGATTATGAAGTGCACGACGAAGTGTTCGATCTGAGAGGAGATGGTAAAGTGTAAATAAACTTAGCGCAATTGAGAGTATGTCGAAAATGAGAAAATACCAAAATCGAATATAATGAGGAATTGTGAATTCAGATGAAGAATCCGAATTCACAGTTGTAGAGCAATTGCTTGAATTAGACATATATGCAGAAAAAAGAAACCTGATAAATGAATAGAAGAAGATGAACAAAACGAGCTAGATTGACGAAGACAAGCAAATAAATTTTGAAGTATTTAATTCAATATGACAAGTGAATCCTCATCAAAGAATACTTTCTCCTAAAGGAAATTTATACTTAGCTAAACAAGTATCAGATAATGGGCTTGTCAATTAAACTGCTGAGTTCATTTATTTGTCGACGATTTTGAACCGAAATTCTCAAATGCAAGATTGATGGCCTTGTCCAATGCAGTAATAAGTTCTCTCTTCTGTGACGGGATTGCTGGATATATAAAAAAACGATACACTAAACTCCGCATAGTTCATAAGAAGATGACACTGATTCCTTGTTGCAACCAGAGTATGAATCATGAAGTGTCAATTCATTTCGCTTCACTTTTATAGACATTAGAAACTCATTTTTTAAACAACTATATTACCGAGTTTTGGAGGAAAATTTTCCGATAAAAATGTTTCATATCCCTATCTCTTGTATTCTTCCATAATTTTTTGCTTGTCAAGCGAATTTTCAATCGCTATTAAGAGAGAATCCACAAGAGGATTGAACATTCTGCCATTGCGGTGTCACATGGTCAAAATTCAAATTTGAACCTGATTATGCCCACTTGATAGTTCATATTGGGAAACCTCTGCAGTCAGATTTTTAGACCAAGCAAAAATATTTTCATTAAGACTTGAGATTTAAAAAAAAAGAGCTTTTTTCAATTTTCTAAAAAATCAGGCAAGTCGTATTTTACTTATTTTCCAGCCATTTTGCGATTGATTGTTTTGGACAACATCTCACTTGAAAGAGCAAAGGAAACTGAACAAGATGGAGTCCTTTAAACATCTCGAACATCATATTTGAAGATCCAAAATTTTGAGAAAACCTTAGATGCAAAACCGGAGCTTTGGGACTTTTGATAAAAATTTGAGTTTTAGAATTTTGTACCACAAATTTTAGAAGCCTATATTCTAGAGAAAAAAATTCTCTACACGATGCACTGAAGCTTGTCTTTTATAAACATCAGCAACGTGCTCAAAAATTCGAATTAGTAATAATGACTAATAGAAAAGTCCTCGTATTCGACGATTGCAAACACAAAAAACCTTATTTTCAAGCAAAATCCATGTCATATTCAGAATCAGCCCCAAAAACTGAGTCGGATGACATATGTTTCATTTTGAATGCTATTTCGAACAAATATTAGCTCAGGGGGGCGAAACACGAAATTTTTGCGAAAAAGAACTGTAGGAGTACGGGTGGAATTTGATGAAACAACATTCCTAATGAAATATGTGTCATCTGGCTGAGTTTTTGACGCAGGTATGAGTGTGGTTACATGAAGAATAATAATATTTAACACTCACACTCCACACTCTAATTCAATTTTGAATCTCTGACAATTATAACCTGGTATATTGTCGGAAGGATAACCAAAAGTAAAGTAGTATGCGGTAACAATTATTATTAATGTTATTCTTTCTAATATAAATATACCAAGAATTCTAAAACTTCGACAAGTATTGATAGAATTATTTGTATTTGATCGCTGAAAACAAAATTTGTTATTAATAAGAAAAATAAAGTAATCAAAAATATTATCTTCCGAATATTATTCAGATTATTTTGAATAATCAAAACTTATATAGTAAGTTGTTTTGATAAATAAAATATTTCAATAAAAATAGCAATAAGATAAAATAAAATTTTCTTTTCCATGTTGCAGCCCATCGATAAATCAATCATTCCAATGATCATCGAAAGAGAAAACAAAAAAAAAGCTATGTATTAGAAAGCATGTTTCATAGGTCAAAATTTCGTTGTTTTCTTCGTAAAACAGCAAATAGAGTGATATAAAAAAGTTTGTTATCAGGGCTCCTTCGGGGCTACAATTTGAAACTCACATGTGTTCTTTGACTTAATTATACTAATAAAAGATACATATAGTAGCGAAGCTCTAAAAGATCATAGGTCTTTTATCGACAATAATCAATTGTCAGCAAACGATTTGTCTTTTTTATTCGTCTTGTTGCTATTCACTTGATATTTATTTATTTCATTTTCATCATTTATTCTTTTTAGTGTAACCATTGCTTTAAAAGACAAATAAGTGTATTCTACACATTCGTTATATCCACAGAAAACGTTAACAATCTATTATGTATCTTAATAAACTAAAAGTGAGTATTCACGAAAATTAGAATTTAATCAGCTCATACTTTTATGTGGCTTATATATTATTTAGTATATGAAAAAATGTATTCAAGTCATTTATTATTCAATGATGATTCTAAAATTCTTTGAAGCCTTCTAAGCCTTGTTATTCATATTGTCGTTCAGCACCTTTAATCTCGGTTTCTAAGTTCTGTAGTAGGGACGAGTATGGATGTAGGTGATAAGACGACTAAACTCCACACCCACAGTACTGCGACAAGCAAACATCAAGTTACAATTATTTGCAATCGCAAATTCTATGAAACCAAAGTACATTAAGTATTAGTTTTAATCTTCTCGGCGATTGTAACCATCGTCAAGGAAAATATTGATATATTCTTTTCTTGAGTAATGTGAATCATAGAATTGATTAACTTAGCTAAGAAAACTGTTGTATCACTTATGGAAAAAGAAAAACTGATGATTTATTCGCATGCAGCAGGAATAGTTGTCAGCGGTTGTATATGGAGAGATAAAACGCTCCCTTAATGTCTTCAAGTATGGAAGTCGTATACGGTCGTGGTTTTTCTCCGTATATGATAGTAATGTTCTTTTTACATTCGTATAGATATACCATCGTAGTACGACAAAATGCGCATTCCGTATACACGGTTTTGGAAAGAAAAGGACAAACTATTTTGTATGAATACAAATGGAATCACTACAGTTCTCATAGGTTTGTTTAGAGCTTTGACAATGGCTTCTTAGAATGTTTTCTTTAATTAAAAATCCGAATACGTAATATTCTACAAAACTGTACGAATTTTTCATATTCATTTGCAGAATCTATAATATCTTAAGATTCTATACATAAAACCTTAACTTGTCTAGTTATTTGATTCATTCAATAAGAAATTTCTTATATTCCAGAGTATCATATTGACTTAGACGAATGTTAGATATGAATTTAAATTCTTTCAATTTGAGAGCAAGCGAAATCTTTGTAGTTTTACATTGGAAACTAACGCTGAATTTATAGCAATATATGCAAATTATGTAGTCAATATAATGAATATAATCGTTTGATTTCGACTGCTAAATAAAATATTCGTTTCACATCAAGTTTTGCATATTAATGAAACACTTTTAAATATGATATTGATATCGACAAATTTAGAAATGAATGTTGACATGATTTCTTTCTTATTAGTTTACATAGATCTAATGATTATTGTAATAATTGATGTTCGAAACATTGCAAATACAAAAGCGTCCTTCAAAATTATTATCTCTAACCGAATATATTTCAATAAAAAAAAAAATCCAAAATTATCAAGTCTACTGATCTTAAATTTGTGAGACTAACCCATATGTACTAAACCGCTGATCATCAAACTTATCAATTGAACAATCGATAATTGTCATGAAGCAATATGCTGATACTACATGTTGTTGTAAAATCAGTTTCTTCAGTTATTTCTTTTTTCTACAAAATTGGATAAAGAAAGTTGTAAAGCATATCAAAGCTATTTTGTTGATTAATCGTTGGATCATGAAAAAAAATGACGCTAAATTCAGTTTTCTTGATATTATACATCAAGTAGAATATGAAATTGAGTATATTGAATTTGAATAACATATAAGAAAATGAAACAATCAAAAATTCGGATTGCATAATTTCATTTTACATATCTTTTATATTTCACTTAGAGGTGATAGTTTTGAAATTTGCTCGTAGAAATAAAAACAACATTTCGAAATGTACTGTTGAAACACCTTGTATTGTCATAATATTCTATATAATAGAACGTGTAATACAAAAGAAGGATAGTTAAATATCTGAAGACAACTGAAGTTGTTGGCTGTTTTATAACTTACATAGATAAATAACATTTTCAAACTATTTTCTTAATACCTGTAAATAATTATATTAATGTTAATATAGATCTCTTTATGATATTCATCGTATTATTTATGTCAAATGTCATTATAAAGCAGATTGATTCGGTGACTGTTTACAACTGTCACTAAAAAGAGATAACTAAGGACTTCAGTTATTTATAGACGATTGCAGAATGACTGATAGATAACTATGATAATTAATGATGAAGTATGATTTTATCTAGAAGCAAATCAACATGCTAAAGTCATGAATTATCAGAATCGAAATTTGGAAAAAAATCCAATAAAATGAACGATTCTCTTGGCTTTACTGGCTTGAACTATAAGTGTCAGATTAGGGCATACGTATTAAAATTAATCTTAATGTATTGGTATTATTGACACTAGAACTAATTATTCCAAAGTTGTTAGCATTACAGTAGCATTCTTTTATAGATATGCAACCTCTAACGATATCTTTGACGGCTCATATTCGAAAAATTTCCAATAATAGAATAAAGTTTTTTGTAGCCACAAAAGTCATTATTAGAACTTTATTTATATATTTATATAAATATACAAATTACTTTTTTAAAACAAAAAAAAATTCACAAAATTAAAATGGCAAAANATCCATATGTAGTATTTGAAAAACATCCGTTGGTGGATCAAATGATTTGAGATGACCTGGAGTTTTACTGCGTAGGATGTTGAATTTCCTACATTGTTGACAAGATGAGATGTAATGCTCAATTGATTTACGCATATTTGGCCACCAAAACCGAGTACGAATTTTATATAACGTGCGTTTTACTCCAAAATGCCCACTCATTGGATGATCATGAAATGCTTTCAGTACGGCGTGAATCATTGATGACGGTACGTATGGAACTTTGTTCTTGGTGCCATGCTTTCTCTTGGCTGCAAGACGAAATAAAATTTTGTTGTAAAGAATAAAGTTGTCCTTTTTCTTTTGAGCATGAATATCTGCGATAATGAGTTGAATATCAATATCTTTACCTTGCTCAGTTTTGATATTTTCCAAAGTAAAATTTATCATTGGTGTGGTCGGATTTTGTTCTGGCATCCTTGGTGGTGTTAGAGGACTCGAGACTGCCTGTTTTGTCATTGATTGAGTTACAGCTGATAGGGACTGGTTGTGATTATTCATGTCGACTGTTTTATATAGAGTAAGATAATCAGGTCCAATATTGTCGATGCCCCGGCGGTATTTAATCTCTGTAATTTGTGGTATTAAATCTTGTAGCGATATGAGCCAATTATCTATTCTTTTGTTTCCGTAATTGTTTTTCTTATGCATGTTGACAAGTGGTTTGTGATCTGTTTCGATGGTGACATCGGAATCTCCAATGAAATTCCGCAATTCTGTGAGACACCAGTAAATTGCCAGTGCTCCCCGTTCTGTGGTTGAATATCGATTTTCAGTATTGTTCAGTAATCTTGATTTGTAGTAGCAAATCTGCAGACCATCAGATGTGTTTTGCTTAAGTACTCCAGCAATTCTTAAATCACTTGCATCTGTAGATAAGATAAATGGTACTGATCGGTCAGGAAAGTTGAGGAACAGCGGTGCAGTTGTCAGTATTGATTTAAACTTGTTAAAAGCATCTTGCTGTGCTGGGTAGAGACCTGCGGAGGACTCCGAAACCCGATTCCGACTCCGACTCCGACGGAGTCGAAAAAACAAAAATTTTCGGAGTCGGAGTCGGAGTCAGTTACAAGTTCGACTCCGATATTTTTTTTTCGATTTAGCAAAACCTAATTTTTAACATTAGTAAATAGAAAAATAAAGCGTAATATCTGTCACATAGATGTATATCACTTGTAGGACAGAAAGATGAGCGAATCACTTTCCAGTTATAACACTCGAATGATCAAGTGAGATGAAAACAACAACATTAGTCAAAAAAGATATATTAATGTCATTCAAAGTACTACGACTATCTTCATCATTAGTTCATCCTTGTTTAGACGAACAACATCCAAGGCCGGTAAAATCAGTAACAGAAACGCGTTTTTAGAACCAAAACTGTGGATTTTTTACACATTCGAAAAGTTTTTTTGAGGGAAAAAGCGACTTTGAAGATGATAACATTCATAAACTGTTTTTTTTAAAGAGAAACTTGAGATTTTTAGTGTAAAACGTGCGCATGTTAAGTCATTAAAGAGTCCTTTGGCTGCTGAGAACGTTTTATTTCTAAATGACATTGTTAAAAAATTTCGGAGTTTTTCGGAGTCGGAATCAGAGTCAAAAAATAAAAATTTTCGGAATCGGAGTCGGAGTCGGAATAAAGAAATTTTTCGGAGTCGGAGTCGGGTTTCGGAATGAAAAAAGTTGACTCCGCAGGTCTCTAGTGCTGGGCCCCAATGGAATTCGTGTTTTTTTGTTCGGGTCTTATTGGTGACCTTGTGTATCGGCGCGGCAATTTTTGCAAAATCACGAATAAATTTACGATAATAACCAACTTTACCGATAAATTTGTTGGCTTGTGAAAGAGTTTTGGTGGGACAATATCAACAATTGCTTTAATTTTGTCTGGTGATGGTTCAACTTTGTCAGATGTAACGATGCAGCTTAAGAATTCAATTTTCTCGACGGCAATTGAACACTTGCGCGGTGACACTTGAAAATTGGCTTTGTGGAGTGTTGAGATAACGTCGGTCACATGTTGTTTGTGCTGTTCAATTGTTTTTGAAAAGATGACAATATCATCTAAATAGACGACCACATAATCCCATCGTCCGTTTGCTAGTAACTCATTCATCACCCGCTGGAATGTAGGCGGAGCATTCATAAGTCCTTGGGCTAGCACTGTAAATTCATATAGACCATCTTGAGTAACTATAGCCGTCTTCTGGATATCTAATTCATCTATCGGAATCTGAAAATAACCAGATTTCAAGTCGAGTTTTGTGAAGTATCGATGCCATGCGAGGCGGTGTAGAAGTTCTTCAGCCGATGGTTGTGGGTAAGAATCCTTCTTGGTAATTGCGTTGAGTCAGCGAAAGTCAACCAAAAATCGATAGGTACCATCTGGCTTCTTCTTTAACAAGACTGGGGATGACCACGGTGAGTGGGATGGTCGAAGGATGCCTTGATCGAGCAATTTTTCCACTTCCTGCTGTATTTCCTTTCTTTGTTGAACCGTCTTGTAATATGGTCGAACGCTTATGAGTAGATGATCGCCTGTATTAATGGTATGACGAATTTTTGTATTTGCTCTGGTCATCTTTGACGTGTCAAACGCGCGTCCATTTTGTCGAAGAATATTAAGAAAATCATTACGGTGATGTTTGTTATCAATGTGTGCCACTAATTCTTGGAGAACATCGTCCAATGATGATGTGTTGGGTGATTCGTGTTGTTCATTTGTTTGTATTGAATTTAGAAGTACGCTTTGTTCTGTCATGCTTGATGGATTTGGTGAATTTAATATGTTGTACATCATTTCATCATTTGACTGATAACGTATTGATCCCAGTTGCGTATTAGCAGCCATTATATGGACGTATTTGTTAGAGTTATAAACGCACATATAAAATGAAAAATCTTTTATTTCAACAAGAGCATCAGGTACCTGAACATTTAATTTAGTACACTTTTTCGAGTCCGATGTAAATGAGACAAGAGTAACAGAAGAAATAGGCACATGCGTTTTGACAATGTGTTCATGATATGGCAATAGTGTGATACATTCCGCGAGTTTAACCTCGACCGAGCCAACTTCAAGGAATGGTGTTGTTGTAGTTCCATGCTGTGGGTGATTGATCTCTACTTGTTTTTTACCAATATTCACGTTCACATAATTTGAGTTACACCAGTCCATGCCGAGAATTAAATTAGCACCTAATGACTCGGCCACAAGAGCTGTAATGATGGTGGTAATATGATTGATGGTGACATTTAATTTGACTACACTATTAACCATTATTTTGGTTTGTCCATTGACAAGTGTACTAATTGTTATAAGTGATGGTTGTGATTTTGAAAAGGAAATGCGACCATCACGTACTTTCACTAGTAGTTTTTTGGACAATTGTATTGATAATGGTCCATAGCACCGCGTGACCAACATCCACTGTAGTTTTTGTCGCGGTTGTATTGCATCTGAGTTGGACCAGGTGTTGGATAATGGGATTGATATTGTTGTGATGAATAATTGTGTTGTTATCTTGGATTTGTAGAATATTGTTCTCGTTGCATTACAGAATGTTGCATTGTTCTTGTTGATATATTTCTGCGCTGATCAGACGATGTCATAATTTTCCGTTGGAATTTTTCTTCTTCTTGCCATTTGTCGTACTTGATAAGAGCTTCAAAAAACTCTTCAGTAGTACCAGGTTTCTGCAAATCCATGTGTAATTGAGCTGCTGGATTGAGTCCTTTGATGAGATGTTTGAGTTGAGTTTCTTCATCCATTAGTTTATTAGCTTTTGAACAGAGTTTAAGGACACTGTGACAGTAATCAATTGCCAACTCGTTTGGTTGTCGTCGTCGATTGTAGAGCTTTTGTTCCAGTTGAAATTGATCACTACCAGTTACAAGTTTGAAGTAGGTCGTTAATTTGTTTTTTAGTGTTATCCAATCATCAATGGTATGCTTATGTGTGTCATACCATAGTTTTGCATTACCTGTGAGAAGATTAATAGCCACGGATAAACGTTGAACATCTCCTAGTTGGAGTTGATCACACTTATCGTCGAAATCTTCGATCCAGTCTGAAACCTCTTGTGAATTGGATCCAGAAAATGGGATAGAATTAAGTAGTTGATCGATCCGTTTCGATTGCAGTTGTTTGGAAGCTTGTTCCTTGAGGCTAAGTTCAACACTTTTCATCATAGATGGTGTTAGCTCTGAGACAGAAGCTGTTGTTGGTGCTAAAGATGGATTAGTTACTGGTATATTTGGATAGGATATTTTGGTTCCTTGTAAAGCTTCAACTGCTTGAGAAAGATTATTAATTGTGATCTGTTGTGTTGCCATATCTTGTGTAAGCAAATTTTGTTTAGCCAATAGTTCTTGCAACAATGACACGATTTTGTGCTGTTGTTGATTAGCTTCTTGTTCTTCTCCATTTTTGTCTTGGTCATCTGTTTCGATTTTTCGCTCCAAATCAGTTAATGATAGAAATTCTTGTGTTTGTGCCATACTTCGAGTATGATGCTTTTTTCCGTTCATATATGACTCCAGGTCTCTTACTAGGTTGTTGAATTGTTAGTAAGATCGGCTAGTGCACCAATTGTGAGATCTTTAACCAACTATACTTTATTTTTATTTATCTATCTATATTTTTATTTATATCTCTCACACAACAACGTAACGCTATATATAGAGTAATAATAAACAGTGAACAAAGAAGGGAAATATCCATAGGACAACATGAAAGAAAGAAGAGCGAATGAGAAAATTCCAACATACATGAAAGAAAGGGAAAATTATTGGTGTATGACTAACAAAAGAGAAAAGAAGCAGAGCACAAGTTTATATGTATACTCTTATAAAAAAAGAGGGAAAACCCTTATGATCTGTATCTTCTTCAGATGCAGGTCATAACAGAAGTTTCATTGTTTAATAATGCAGATAAAAGAATTCAAACAGTTAAAAAAAAAGTTCTAATCGTTGATAAAACTAATTGGATTAAATTAAATCTTTGGGAGAATAATTTTACATTTATAGAAAAGGATCAATATTACTTAATTAAATTAGCAAAAGTGAAAATATTTCATGACGAAATGTCTGTAACAACGACAACGCATACAACGTTAGCTTTCCTATTATTTGTCTTCATTTTTGCTTAATTTATTTATAAACAGCTTCTAAATTCAGAAATATCCCTTACTATATACTTCTGATAAAACATGTACAAATATTTCTAGAGTTGAACCTATGGAAAACATCGGTAATGCTGTCTCTTGTGACTTTATTAACATCGTACAAGATTTACCAATAGCAGGTATAATAACAGCAATTGGAGTAATAGAGTAGCCTTGTCTTTGTCAAAAATATTATTCAACTGACGTTGAATACAATGGTAAGACTATGAATTGTATAACATGTTAATCAAGATCTTTATATTTAAAAGTTTCAATCCAACAAAACGGAATAAAACTTAATGTAACCGATATTAATCATAATATATTTGAATTCATTGTTGAAAGATCAACACTTCAAATTTTATTACAAGAATCTAATCGTGAACAACTTTGTCAAAACGACTTAGTGGAAGATGAAAATGTATTACTTGTCTTATCTTCGATGAATGTTGTTATTCATTTCAATCCAAAAACTATTCATATAAATACCATTGTATAAAACAATATACAGGATGACTAAATAAATTTTATTAAATATGAATAAAACTAAGCATTTCTAAATTCCCAACACTTTAGGAAGGAATTCATAGCTTTTTTTATTTTCAAATTCCACCATTTTTATCATTAAGAATTCATGCTGCTTCAAGTCTTCATTCCACGCTTTTACTTGATCTCATGACTGATATGCATTCTTACATTTTCTTTCATGTATAAATATTTAA